CCTGAAGGAAGATTCTGTGTCGTCATCTCTGGCTGCGGCCGTGCCATATTGCAGTCTCCCGTGCGATGAAAGTCCCATCATTGCCTAGTACCAGGATAGCCAAAAGCCTCTGGGATCCCTCGAAATGGGATGTCACCCATTGAACAAACGATCCTCACGTCTCCCAGACTGGCATGTGTGGCTGTCTGGGAGACCGGAGGATCGTTTCGAGCGCTGTATCAGTGTATTTCGGAGGGAGTGTGCGTAGGGCTTACTTAGGTTTTTATGATCTTTCGATTCACCAGTGTTGTCTTTCGAAAAAGTTCGTGAACTTTCCAATGTCCCCAGCCCGCGGCATTTTTTGGGAATCCAAAGCATTTTTATGTGAGGGCATGGAAGTAGATAGCGTTTCTTTCGTTCCATTTTTAAGAAATGGCCAAAACTTCATATGCTGGTTCGCCCGAATACTCTCCAATTATGAGGTGACTTTCTCAAAGTGTTCTCAGCATTTCAGGTCCGCCTTCAACCCTTTCACACACGCGGTCGCCGCAGTGTTCAACGAGGATTTGGTAGATTCGTGGGGTACTGGATTGCAGTTAACGTATGTTTTTCACGTAAACTCTCAAATATGCACAGGAGGGAGATTCGTTCAGGTTGTAAACAAACCCATCGGATCCCAAAGTCGCGCCGCATCTGGATTCAATTTGCGCGATTGGCGCTTGACTCGCCAACTTGACTGGCCTGCATATCAACCGTTTTTAATCGTGCATTCTCTGTCGATCGAATATGAACTGTTCTCCAAGAAAAAAAAATAAAAAATAAAAATAAAATACAAAAAAAAAAAAAAATTAAAGGGATCTCCGAACATTTTTACCGTTTGCCTTCAATATTTACTCTTGCACTCTGTCACGCAGCACTTTTAGGTAACATCTCTGGATCCTCCCCCCCCGAGTCAATTATCGTATTTTTGACTTTGATGGACGCTCTGATGGTTAAGGGGAGAGTATTTTTCGACCTTGCACGCGGACAAATATCACTTTGCAACAAATCTTTCAGAAATGAACGTATCTTGAATGGTGCCATGGAATTCCCATTGACGTTATCCGATCCAAACGAACGTGCACCGTACACCTTCAAGTACCTGAACTTCATGGCTGATCGACACATGCAGTACGGTCACGTGGTGCCGAATGTGAACCTGTTCCTCGTCGGCAAGGACAAGATCATGAGCAGGCTCGTGCAGAATCGCCGTCAACCACGATACGTTTTAGATCGCCAACTCTGAGACGCACCTTATTTTTTGCACCATCATGCAGAGCCGCTACTTATAGGGGTCAGCTCCAAAATGCGTGTGCCTCAGTAGACCTCTCGCCTTTTATTTCTTACCTGTTGTGGTTTATTTCCTGCCGTTTTGATGCTAATTTTCAGCTATCGCACCACTTGGACGGTAGTTGCTTAGCCTGTATCTTCTCGTGAATTTTGTACCTAAACAATCATTTCAAAAACATAGATTAGTGCGACCCTAAGAAAACCCTCTCAGACAGGCCATTCTGTCATCCGTACTCGATGTATCCGAAATCGGTGTTGGGGTCCGCTCTCTGAATTGTGGAAGCGGGAGGCAACGGTAACCGGTGATAGCTGCTTTTGCGCATACGTTGCCTTCGAAGTCACAGAATGTAATTGATTCGTGGAAATTCAGCACAATCATGTATTGAACTCCTCATATTTTACAACCCTCGTCGAATAGTAGTACCCGACAGTGGGACCCGTCGCGCGGCTAGAAGGCAGAGACGCAAACGGGTTAGCTGACAGTCGCAGCGCCTGACGCGTCTGCGTCTCTACCTTCTCGCCGCGCGACGGGCCTCCTGTCAGGTACTTGTCAGGTAAAGTAGCGCTCGTGATTCATGGCCATGTTTTCGCTCAAAATGCTGATGTAAAATCACGTGGCAGTTCCTCTTTCGCCTTCACACAGTGAGTTCAGTGGTGTATCGAAGTTCGATAAGCACCAGCTCGAGAGCCGGCACAAAATTCATTCCTGATCCTTGGGTGTGATTTCTGTCTTGTCTGCATAGTATAATTATTCGTTTTCAAAAATAACTCTTTTAATGTGGTGTTCTTAATCTACTTCAGTAGTTATTAGCACAAGGGATTCGGTAATTCAGTGATATTCTTAAAATTTGAAGTTATATTCCATCAAGTCTCTGAAATTGTCGGCGAATTAACCACTCTACACTACTCCTGATAATGATACTTTCACCTACAGATTTCAGAGAAACTGTATTTGAATGGGTCTTCGAAAAGTTCTTCTCTACAAGAGGAGGGGGTGCAAAAAAAGGTCTCAGTGTTGAAGAGCATATTCTAATCTATCAAAAGGTACATAACAGCCTTCTACACCGACGACATCAGAAGATTTTCCCACGGAAACATGGTTCACGGTACGAGCTCAACGAGGTCGTCGAGGTACCATAGACCATTACGACGTCCCTGAAACGCTGGTCAAAAGCGGTCTTGCACAGTCACAGCTAGTGTCTCTGGGAAGCTATTCACCAGTTAATCGATTGAAGAAATTATGTAGCAGCTTCAGGCCGCGTTGAGCTCGACGGTGACGGCAGATGACGTCATATTCTGAAGACGGTGGGGCAGTGAAGGAGGGCCTGCTTCTGCTTATGGGGGACACCTAAGGAATATTCTGCCGTAAAACATTCATCAACAACGGCATCCTGTGCGACGAAAAATTTGATGATGTGCGCCATGGGCAAAGTGACTTTTTTTTGGCCCCCCCCTGTATAACGCCATCAGATAAAAGTGTACTCAATCCACTCATTTCGGCCGAGCCTGTCACAAAATTAGCTTCAATTGGCTCAGGGTTTACGTGGTTCTTCCGCTGAGGAGGCTGTCAGGGGCGCCTTGCTCACTGTTTTGACGAAGAACTGTTATGGGAATCTAGGACAATTGAGGGTGAATCAGGCATCTTTTTTGAAGGGAGACTAGAATTGGCCGGGATAAGTGTTTCTAATTGGCGCGGGTAGGGACCCGACTTGGCAGAACTGGCGTTCGTCTGCCTTGACGTCACGGCGCTATCTCGACCAGAAAGCCAAAAGTGATGTTCCTAGGACTCAATTCGTCGCTTCATATTCTTGAGCAGCACCTCAAGGGAACATATGTTGGTGGTAACGGACTTCGACCAGCATCTAGGGCGCAAGAATTTCGACAGTACTCGGACCATTTTTTTCAGCAAGATTCCAAGAGGAACTCCTTGAGCAGTTTGTTGGTTCAGTCCAGCCAACGAAGAAGACCGGGAAGTGATAGCAGTCAAAAGTTTTGCTAGGCGAAAAAAAATGCAGCGAAAAAAGGGTGCAGATGTAAAAACGATGTGGAAAGTGACTTTGTCGAAAAAATGAAGTCTTAAATGTTGCCTTTTCATATTGAAACTTCGTGTCCATAATTCAACAAGCCGAAGCAAGAATTACTCTTCGCAAAGCTCAATATTTTTCCGCTGATATTTCACGATGCTATATTCTGAACTCAATTCTAATCACGAAATTGTATTTGTAGCAAAGAAATAAGCAGTCCAAAAACGTTAATTAACGGTTTCTAAATATGGGGATGCACCGTCTTGCTTTGGTAGGTTTTTTCAACTCTTTGGGCGAACGCAGGCAATGCGAGGCATCAGCGTAATTTGATGGAGAGCAGTCAGATTGGTTTACTGTCCGTGAAACAGACGAGGCGGCTAATATTCGCAAATAACTGTCATATCAGGAACAGGAGAAAGCCTAGGGCACGCAATTAAAGGAATCTTCCACGGAAAAAGCTCCGCCCTCATTACCACAGAAAACGATACCTTAAAGGAATCTTCCACGGAAAGAGTGATCATTTTGTCTTGTGTGTAGGATTAGTATTATCGAAACTAACGCTTATGTTCCGTTCTTTTTGCTATGCTCATGAGGCTAGGGGCCTAAGGTATCGTTTTTCTGTGGTAATGGAGGCGGAGCTTTTTCCGCGGAAAGACTTCCTTTCAGTTGTGGAGTGTGCTTGGGCGGTATACTGGTAGGCTCAACTCCTCGATCCAGGTGCTCTAAAGCAGAACCTACTAGAATTCACACGAAGACCTTCTCCGCAAGTGAAGAACGCGCGTCATAACTTTTGAACAAATTCCCGATTTGTCTGTTGTTCTGAACAATGTTCAAGGTTGAGCAACTCAATGAGAGCGCAATCTCGCGATAGGACCTCTGGAGGCTAATGATTGGCCATATCATGAAAAGAAATAGTCAAATGAAGTCGTTATCGGAATTCATATTCGGTGACTTTCAGTACAAAGCCCGTATTCACTCAACCCATATTATGAATGGAATGGAACGTATAGCCAACATTATTTGAAGGAATGGGACGAAAAAATCAACAGTGAGAATTTTAAAAATCCAAAATATATAGATGCACCAATAATTTTGCCCCACCTTGTAAGTTTCAAATGCGAGTTTTTGGGGAATTTGCAAGTGGATTTATCATCTTGCGGGACAAGATAGTATGTTGGTGGAATTGCCGAGTGTGACACTGAAGCCTTGTTGTCTAACTGGTCGAAGAAGCATTTCTTTCATAACGTCGATCAGTATCAATATTCAGCGTATTGTGCACTCAAAGGAAGCGATTACGATAAGAGGAAGCGCATCGGGGAAGCATATGCACCACACGAAGCAGTTACTTGGCTGCCAAGGAAGCGAGGTGTGGCGCTTTCACGACGAAAGGTGCGCTGGTTGCTGAGCAGGACTTCGAAAGCACTCCGCCCCAAAAGCGATCCGCCCACTAGTTTAGTTGTTGATTTGGACGAGCTGCGTTGTCAGCCAAAAACACTCTTCCGCACCCATCCTAGACAGTACCATTGAGCACCACCACGTCACGCTAAACTCTTATTGAATTTTTCGTAATCGCTGCCTTTAATGTACGAACGACTGTCTCGTGTATCGTTTCCAAGAACTAAAACATTTACTTAAGCACTAGTTTTCAAACAGTTAAATGCAGTTTCACGATAAATACTGATTAATAATAAAGAGTCGAATTTCGTAGTTCTTCGTTTTAATCATCTATAAAAGTATTTTGTAGAACTGGGAGCCATGGATGCTGAACCTCTCACCTCACAATTACTGAATGAGAGGGACACAAGTTTGTTTTGTCTGAAATGGATCTGTGATGCTGGGACTGAAATAATGGCTTGTTCTCAAATGATAATGAATTAATATTACCTTATTTGCCCTGATTGGATGATTTGCCTGATCCTAAACTCTCTGCGCTGATCGATCCTTCCGCAGAAGCTTTCTTTGCAGGGTTAGAATTGGAATGCTGCTGAAGAGACATACATATAGAGACCATAATAATCAAAATGGCTCGATCAAGTTGGCAGATCACGATCCTGCTTTCCTGATCTGCCAACTAAGATTCTGAACGGGAAACTGAAGTATTTCATTCACAGATCAAGGTATATCAGCCTTCAGCGGAGGAGTAGTCACTGGATATACAAGCCGGATTCGCATGCGATTTGGTCGATGGGCTGGAGCTTCGAGCAGCAAGGCTTCCAGAGTATCAGCGCCGTCCGAGTTATCTCCAGCATCTTCCTTTCCTTGCATTTTTGTGGCCACTTGGCGGTAGTGTACTATGATTCCCCGTCATTGCTCACCGTAGTTTGCTTTTTGATGAGCTTGATATCATTCGCTCGGGAGATTTCCGATACCTTGCCAAGCCGCGCGTACGCCGCACCTGTAAAGCCGCGCAAAAACGGATGGGGATGTCCATGCTACAAGTCAAGGAGCCGGGTGTCCCTCAAGAGGCTCATCGCGCGGCGAGAAAAGAGACACAGACGCGGCAAAGAGCAAGTTGCAGCGCATAGACCTAGTGTTTGGGCGTCACGGTAAATAGAGTGTACCGCACTACGTCCCATATCGCACAGCGCACGCGCTTGCGATTCGTCCTTTTGCGCGTATGGTCTGTTCCTCTTCACCGCACAATGAGCTCTTAGACGGACACCCACAAGGAGCCTCTGTGCAATATTCCAAAGTGATACCATGTGAATATTGAAATCATGAGATAAAGAAGGCTAAACGCCACTTTCCGTCTTAAGAGACATGGCTAAAATTTAATTCACTCTAAGACAGGTACCAAGGCTTCCGAAAATGTCAGTTTAGGCCGATGTCATAGTTTGCGAATCGAGCGATTCGCTAGCGAATCGCTAGCGATCCGAGCGTTGCGCCAGCGAATCGAACGTTGCACCAGCGAATCGAACTTTGCGCCAGCGAGTCGAACGATGTACCAGCGAGTCGAACTAGGTACCAGCGACTCAATAGTGGCGGGACCCAACGTTCAAAGGAAGCCCGCCACTTTCAAACAGTGTCCACTGTCAAGTCCCGCCACTTTCAAAAGGCTCCACTGTCACGTGACACAAGGGTGAATATCGGTCGAGGAAATCCTCGACAGGGGGTCGTACCTGTCAGGGTGGGTCATGGGGGGTCGTACTCTGGGGGTCAGTAACGTCAGTGGCATCGTGGTGCAGATAGGAGGGAGAGGGTGTAGCGCAGCAGAAAAAAGGGTTTGTGAGGATGGTAAATTGATGATGATGATGACATGATGGTAAATTTTCTTTGCAGGTTCAGTCGCTCCGTCCCTCTACAAAGGAAGTTTTGAAAGTACTACAAAGAATGAAAGTGCATCTTTGCAAGGAACAGGGTCACATGTGCACACGCGCTGCGAAGGCATTCCTCTATCTACCGCCCGCTCCCTCGCCCTCAATACCTCGCTGAGAATGACACTGTTGTTAGGGACGCTGTCGCAAAAACGGCAACAGTTCTGGAAAGACCCTGGGCAAATGAAGCTGTTCCTTAGGTTACTACAATACAGTTTCTGTCAACAGGTCATCATCATATGTGTAACACCTTTCAATAGATTCTACAACTTGAGTGGAGGTCGGATGCATGGCCTATACTGAGACGAGATCGGATGATGACGATTGCCCCTTTTCTTATCGCTTACGTTGGGAGAATGTTATTCTAGACACATTTCGAGCGTTGCCAACGAATTACACTTGCAATGGTGAAGAAGGGAGCGGCTTTTCAGGTGGCCGAAATCCGTCCTCGATAGATCCTCGACGCAAATATCTCCTCAACTAGAAAATGTAGAAGAAAGCTAAACAGACCATCAGAAGCGCAAACCTTCCGCTTTCCAAAACTATCTTCGTTTTCTCAGGAAGTGGCAAAAACTCGCATGAAAATTCAGCATCCTCGACGCTCCCTCGACAAAATTTGAGAGACCCTATCTCTTCGAGTGTAAAGCTTTTAGATCAATTTCAATATTGCCCGGTAGTAGCAAATCCAGCTCTATCTAACCCTACCACATACTGCTCCAAAGGTTGTGAAATGGGGAATGGAACCTTTTCATCGAGAGTGTAGATTTCGACGGTTTCGAGCGGGGTTTCGGCAAATCTGACCCACGGACAAACCGCGCTGCAACTGAATGCTTTGCTGTACATTGATGGAACTCGCTTATTCACTTCAAGGCGAAGTTAGAGGGGCCGTATCAAGACCCCGTTCT